AATTTGTGATTTTATTGCTTGATAGGTAGAAAGGAAAGTCAGTGTTTTTTATTTCTGCAAAGGTTTCTATTTTAAGAATGCAAAAGTGGCCTTATAGATGCCAGCAACTGCTGGTGACAATTATATTTTTATTTTCTGGCGTTTTCTACATTTTTCTGGACTAGAAAATGTATAGTATAGCCATTAAGAGTGTTAATTAGAGGATTAGCTCTGGCTAATCTGGAGTCTGGATTCAAATCCTGACCCCAACACTTAGTAGATACATGATCCTTGGCAAATTACTAAAGCTCCTAGAACTTCATCATAAAATATGCATGCTTTATAGAATTGGTGTGAGGAGTAAACAGAACAATGTATGTAAAGCATTTTAGCAATTAAAGCATAGTAAATGCACAACAAATACTAGCTACTCCTATTTTAACCTCTCAAGTTGTGCCTGAGTTAACTTCCTCTGGAGTCCTCCTCTTATGATATTGAATGCATGGGCTTGTTGCTTGTTGTTCTTCCAACCCTCAGAGGATGATGGGGAGAAGAAGAGGGAGAGAGAAAACGGATGGCATGTAGGGCTTGTGAGAGTCCTAATGATTTCCCCCTACTTTCAGGACTGGTTAAAAGCTCCCAAACTGCAGTCAGTGGGAGTAAAGCACAGGTAGAGACTGTGCCTGTAGGTGGCAGTACCCAGGGGACAAAGGACCTCTCTACCTGGAAGCCAAAGGAGATGAGGTGATAGAAGCAGAGACCACAGACTCTTCTCTGGTGCCACCAGGTAGAACCCTTTCCCCATATACCAGACCCTAGCATGGCGTGGAGAGAATGTCTCAGAGACTCTTGTTTTCAAATCTAAAGAACATTTTCTGAAGATATTCTTTGTATTATCCTGTTGCATTGAATACCTCCCCCAACCAGGGACTCAGGAGAAAAACTGTATTACAGGTAAAATAGAGAACCTGATTTTTTCTCAACACATTTGAGCTTGTAGAGAGAGCAAATTTTGTTAACCCCACTACAATTAAATTGTCCTTGTTATTTGGTGGAGCTGGGCGATAAAGCAACATTTCCAAGTTAACCCTGAAATACCAGGAGTGCCAAAAAAAGTATACACATTTTAAGTGATGTTATCTATGCATTATTTTTTGAAGTTGAACTAAATTATGGTAGCAATGTGTAGTATGGCGTTCTCTCAACCGTGCTTTTACCATTTTCCTTGCTGTCCTCCTATCATATAGTGACACTAGCATTTGATTAATGTCATCTTTTAAGCAAACGTCACACTACATATTACACATTACTACTGTAATTCAATTAAACTTCAAAAAGTAATACATTACTTAAATCGTGTATACATTTTTTGGCATCCTTGTATATGTTTTCAAAAATTCATAAGCGGAGTGTCTTGGCCGTGTTCTATCTAGCCTCACTGTCCATTTATTGCGGTATAGGATATTCATAGCCAGAGAGGAAAGATTTCTAAAATTTTCTTGGTTCTTAAGGCTTGTACCCTTATTGTCCAGCTAGCAGATATCTTTGAGAAAGGGATAAGTCCTGGCTAGTTGCTGGATGTTGTATTCCAGGAATAAATACATTCCTCACTCCATTTTGGGTCAGGCTTGCCCTGATTCCTGTTCATTCTTTCCCATCACAGATGTTTATTTAACACTGTGTGCCAAGGACTACCTGGCATAGTTCCTTTTCTCAAAAACATTACATTTAGTGGGTAATAAAGACACAGACACAAGTGTTTCATCTCTGCGTCATTG